CGATCATATGACACACACGCGCGATCATATGACACACACGCGCGATCATGACACACGCGCGATCATATGACACATGCGATCATATGACACGCGTGCGATCATATGACACACGCGTGCGATCATATGACACACACGCGCAATCATATGACACACGCATGCGATCATATGACACACGCATGCGATCATATGACAAACACACGCGATCATATGACACACGCGACCATATGACACACGTGATCATATGACACACACGTGATCATATGACACACACGTGATCATATGACACACGCGCGATCATATGACACGCGCGATCATATGAAACACACGCGATCATATGAAACACACGCGATCATATGACACACGCGATCATGACACACGCGCGATCATATGAAACACACGCGATCATATGACACACACGATCATATGACACACGCACGATCATATGACACACGCGCGATCATGACACATGCACGCACACGCAAAACGAGCCGCGCGAGTGTGAATGGGCAACGCGGCGCGAGTGAAAGAGATTTAAGGAAAAACCCTCAAAATGAAGTGAAAACGTCAGTTTCTTTGTTTTTTCTGATCCTGCTTCAGTTTCAAATGAAAACTAATCCCAAACAGAAATTTGAAGTCAAAGACAAAACTTTCTTATTGATTTTATTACACTACATAATTAATAATCACCTTCATGTTCAAAAGTTCAGACTTTAAGCTCTAGTCTTATAAATAAGCTCCTCCTTAAAAGGCTGCTGAAGTAGTTCATTAAAATAAGATGTTGATAATAATCTTGACATCTTGAAAATAAGATGTTGAGATGATTAATCTAAGACTAAAATAATTATCCATGCTGCTGATCACGGACATCTACACCTCCAGATGCAGGAAGAGGGCCACCTGCATCATGAAGGACCCCACCCACCCAGCACACACACTTTTTGCCCCACTGCCCTCAGGAAGGAGGTTGAGGAGCATTAAGTGTAGAACCTCTAGACTGAGGAACAGCTTCTACCCTGAGGCTGTTAGACTCATGAATCTCTAACTAGAATAATCACTGTGAAGAATCACATCATGTTGCTGCTGATCTGTTTCATGTTACTGCTGATCTGTTTCAATGTTGATGTGTTCATGCGTGCACATCTGCTCACAGACTCATGTTCATGTTTGTGCTGATGTTCAATGTTTTATGTTATGAGTGCTTAGTGTATATTTAGTTGATGTTTTTCTTAGTTCATATCTTAGATGTTATTACTGTTTTTCTTATACATTTTATTGTTGATGTAACTGGGACCCTGTGTACATAATTTCGCTCCACCACATGTACCACATGAGGTGCGAATGACAATAAAGAAACTTTGACTCTGATCTATTTCATGTTGCTGTGCTCATTCGTCCTCATCTGCTCACGTGTGTTTGTGCTGCTCTTGTTGGCACATTGTTTCAGTTTAGCAGATTTACTTCATGTCTTGAGGGCAGCACGGTGGCGCAACTGGTAGAGCTGCTGCCTCTCAGCAAGCAGGTCCTTGGTTCAAACCCCGGTCCAGGGGCCTTTCTGGGTGGAGTTTGCATGTTCTCTCCGTGCATGCGTGGGTTTTCTCCGGGTGCTCCAGTTTCCTCCCACAGTCCAAAAACATGCATGTTAGGCTGATTGGTAACTCTAAATTGTCTCTAGGTGAGAGAAAGAGTGGTTGTTTGTCTCGTTTGTCTCTATGTGTCCCTGTGATGGACTGGCAACCCGTCCAGGGTGTCCCCCGCCCCTCGCACAGTGATTGCTGGACATGGGCACCGGCGACCCCCGTGACCCAAAATGGAATAAGCGGGTAAAGAACATGGATGGATGGATGGACTTCATGTCTTGGATCTTATCACTGTTTTTCTTTACAAGTTGTACTTTTGTTGATGTAGCTGAGACCCTGTGTACATAGTTTCATTCCACCTCATGCACCACATGTGATGTGAATGACAATAAAGAACCTTGACCTAAAAAAGTAATTAACTGATCAAAGCATTTAGTATTTGATTATTTTATACAGACAAAAATATAAAAGTTATGTACAAGTTGTGGTATTAGACTGAAATGAATTAAAAAACATGAATATAAATAACATGATTCCATAATAACAGATTCAGAGATTTTTTAATGAGCAGCACTTGTGCCACACTGTGGACAAAACAAATGACTGTTTATTCAAGATGATTGTGGAAATCAAATCAGAACTCTTAACAGAGACAACAGGAATAATGTGTTTAAATGTAAGTTCAAATGAGACAGTTTATGCACAAGCTTTGTATTTTTATTCTATTGTACCTGCCTGGGCCTGCTGTGCTTTAGCATTTACTCTAACATACAGTATTTATTAACATTACACACTGTAAGTATTAGTTTCAGGTTTTTTTTAATAAACACTGTTTATTCTACTACTCTCTGAATCTGTTATTATGGAATCGTGTTATTTATATTCATGTTTTTTAATTCATTTCAGTCTAATACCACAACTTGTACATAAGTTTTATATTTTTGTCTGTATAAAATAATTAAACACTAAATGCTCTGATCAGTTAATTACTTTTTTAGGTCAAGGTGTCTTTATTGTCATTCACGTCACATGTGGTACATGAGGTGGAATGAACCTATGTACACAGGGTCCCAGCTACTCCAACAAAAGTACAACTTGTAAAGAAAAACAGTGATAAGATCCAAGACATGAAGTAAATCTGCTAAACTGAAACAATGTGCCAACAAGAGCAGCACAAACACACGTGAGCAGATGAGGACGAATGAACACAGCAACATGAAACAGATCAGCAGCATGAGATCAGCAGCATGGATAATTATTTTAATCTTAGATTAATCAACATCTTATTTTCAAGATGTCAAGATTATAATCAACATCTTATTTTAATGAACTACTTCAGCAGCCTTTTAAGGAGGAGCTTATTTATAAGACTAGAGCTTAAAGTCTGAACTTTTGAACAAGA